AATGGATGTCCATGTGGAGCAAAAGAGTGGGCATACTCGTATTTTCTACTTTAACTCTGAGCACAAGTAAGGGAAATTTGGTCTCTGGCGGCTTTCTAACGGAAAAAAGGAATCAAATGACAGTACGTAAGGGATGCCAGCTAGCTGGGTTCTTCAGTCGGCGGAGACGAAGTCGATCTCCTCGAAGCTGTGTGGTCAAATATTGCAGCAGTGAACGAGTCCACCACTCCTGTTACCGTCTAAGCTGATGAAAACATCGCTCTGGGTGAATTGTTTGGTGATCCCCATGGTAACGCGCTCTTCGGCATTTAACGATATCAAGTTTGGCCAAACCATCAGCGCCGTCACAATTTGGTCGGCAAGCGAGTTGACGCTGTGACGTTTAACTCTTTTTAAGGTTTCCAAGCCTTTGGAGAAGGGTTTGAACCACGGAGGACTGAGCAGACGATCACTCTCGCTCCTGACGAGTTCATCACGTCTATGGAGGCTCATTGGGACAAGCAGGGCAAACACACTCGAGTGTTTTATTTCAGCTTACGACCGCAACTGGTCAGACGATTTCCAGTGGAACTTAAACCGAAAAGTCTGGAACGGCAACAGCTCCTGAAGGTTATGTGCTAAGTGATTTTTACAGTCGAACTGCTGATGAAGTGGATCAACTCGGGGCGTATTGGACTCGAAAGACAGCGGAAATGTGGAATTAACGGATCGTTCAGGTGTAGCCAATGGAACGCAAGTGGGTGCACCCTATCATTGGTAAGGCTACGGACACCGCGTGCTATCGGAAGTCGATAGACTTTGACAGCAACAGCATTTGTCCATTGAGTTACAGTAAGGGCGGCGATGACTGTGCAGCCCGGTGTCCCTTGTCCAACCCGGTTACAGCAAACCGATGGGGAGCTTGCTTTTGGTGTCATAGTCTTCGACGTTGTGGCCACTGACGTCTTCTACAGTGTGAAATTGAACCACGCAGTTCGTAAAGCTATGTGAAAGAAGAGTTTGAATGAATACACATGAAAGGGTTAAAAGTTTTTTTGCCTTTGAATAAAAACTCGGCATAGCGGGCACTTCGCTTTCTCGTCTGCAGCTAAGGCGTGTGCAACGTGCACCGACATGCAGTCGGAGCACGCGAAGTGCCCACATGAACTTGGGCGCACTGGGGCTTGGGGTGGTTCCATGCAAATGGACAAATCACAGTTTGTTGTATTTCGTCGTCCCCTGTCAAGTCGATGATAGCTGGACTTGAGTTGGTTGGTGGCATGACTGGCAATGGAGAAGTGAACTGCTCGTCCAGCGCAATAGATGAAACAAAATACAAATATAGTTTTCTCTAGCATTCTTATGAAAGTACATCCTAGATTCTGGTGAATATTGTTTTTTTTCTTATGCGGTCCTCCAAACTAAGTCTTAAATATTTGTACACTGCCCTATATGCCTTAAGGTTGTAAACTTCTCGCCCTAGATCGCTCGTAGCTCGAGTTACCAGCTGCAAAATCGTCGTTCCGTCCTCCTACCGGTTCGGTACTGCCACACACTATTAGTATTCAAGGTCCTGCAAAAACAAGCCTGCCAATTGTTCTGAAAAATTGTACACATATGCCCCTAACACATAGGATGGGGTTGCCGAAGTTTGAAATGTATCCGAGTCCTGGATGGTTGCAAAAAAGTGAAATTACTTCAAATTCTGGCATATCTCATAAACGAGTCATCAAACATATAATTTTCTCCAGATATTTAGATTCAGCGTATTCGATATAGTTGGGATACGTAAAGGTCTCGTGTGCAAAAACGGGGTGGAAGGTCATCAAAAAGGGATTTGTTTGGATCACAAATTTTGTGTGGTACACAATATTATGTGGTCCACATTTTT